CACAGCGAAGTATATTGGACTCAAGACAACGCAAGTTCAACTTCACAACGAAGGGACCACTGGTTGTCAATAAACAACTTCCCAATTTCAGAGTCAATTTCAACTTCACAGCGAAGGATATTGGACTCCAGACAATGAAAGTTCAACTTCACGACTAAGGGGCCGTTGGTTGTCAAAAAATAACTCCTCAATTTCAAAGCCAATTTCAACTTCACAACGAATGATATTGGACTCCAGACAATGCAAGTTCAACTTCACGACGAAAGGACCGTTGGTTGTCAATAAACCATTACCCAGTTTCAGAGCCAATATCAACTTCACAGCGAAGGATATTGGACTCGAGACAACACAAGTTCAACTTCACAACGAAGGGACGGCTGGTTGTCAACAAACCATCACCCAGTTTCAGAGTCAATTTCAACTTCACGACGAAGGATATTGGCCTCGAAACAAAGCAACCTACATTGGATTTCAACTTCACAACGAATGATATCCAGTTCCCAGGCTCAACTTCACGACGAAGGGGCCATACACAACTTCACAACGAAGGGTATCATGCCCTAATAGATGGACCCAACCTCACGACGAAGGAGTCATCTGTAACACCACAACACCAAAGTCTTCAGGTCAAGTTTCAGCTTCACGACGAAGTACCTTGAGCCAGAAGACGATTCAAAGGCCACTTGCCAAAAACTTTGAGCTCGGTTTCAACTTCACGACGAAGGATTTCATGCTCAGAATTTTCCAATTTTGACCCAACCTCATGACGAGAGAGTCTTTTCGTGATTGACAAACCAGTTTCAACATCGGTTTTCATCTCTACGACAGGGGACATTCGATATGGATGAAACTTGTGTCTATTAATCTTTGCTCTATTTTCGTTACACGATAATAAGCAAAGAGGGGCAGCTGTAGACACCCTCCATTTCATCCATTTATACGTAATAAACATATATTATTATTTATTTATTTTTACTTATGTTTCACATTTTATAGGCCTAAAATCACATGTGGTCCAACACACCATACCCAAGTCCCACGTGACCCAATATACGTGAGCAGCCCACAAGTTTCCAGAACCCTAGCTACACACCTCCTAGCAGCGCCGTTTTCACCCATTTGAAGTTCCCACAGCCGTACGTTTCTCACCCACAACAGCCCGCATCTTCCGGCTCAAGGATCTCGGTCATCATCAATAAACAAAAAACAACACGCATTAGATTTCTAGTGAGACTAGGAGTCTAAAAATATATTTTCTTTTAACACTATAAATACAATGTAATCCATACTGTATGGGGGACGGTGAACACACGATTCATAGAAGAAATACCAGAGAGCTTTACGCACAAATTACTCAAAAATCACGAGGCAAATCGGAGCTATTGTAATCGATTCAAAAGGAAATAAAAGAGGTAGCTTTTCTTTTTACCTTTGTTCATTCATTTTCTTCTTTTTGCATGTCGTTGTGGCTTGAGATTTGGCTCGGAAGCGATCAAAAAACAAACGTCGATGACCAAGAGGAGGGCTTCGAGATTCCAAGCCTAGATCTACCCCGAGGCGTACTCTTCTTTAATAAATTTGATTTAAAAAAAAGTGATGAAAAAGCTTTCATATTTAAAAAATAAATAAACTTTTCGCCGCCAATGACGGCGGTCGGCGCCGGTCAATGGCGGCCGATGAGGCGGCGGGTGGTGGCCATTTTCTGGATTCTTGATGAACCACGGCCGTGTTCTTCAAATATGAAGAACACGTGAAGAACGTACAGCGAATTTTGAAAAATCGTTTTGATCCATGTTGGATCAAATGAGAAAATTAGGAAATGTTTTTCAGAAAATTGGCCTTTATACGGCCCGTTAACCCGACCCAGATACAAGCCAAACCCGCGTGTTTTGCTTTACAATAGGGTAAACCACTATTTCAGTCCCTCCTATTCCAAGTGTATGTTATCATAATCCCCAAATTCGATTCTTTACCCAATTTTGTTTTGAATTCGACCATCAATCATGGTTTTCTTCCAATTTAGTCATGTTACTTTGCTTTTTATTTATCTATTATAATTGTTATTATTATTTTTAATCTTATTACTTTATATATATACGTATTTCATATTTTACTTTTATATTATTACTTTTTATTTTGTTTACAAATTATTATTATATATATATATATATATATATATATATATATATATATATTTATATATTAATATAACTATTACTATTATTATTATCTTCTTTTTACTCATTTATATATATATATATATATATATATATATATATATATATATATATATATTATATGATTTTATTATTACTATATACGTCTATTATTATTATTTTTTCTTTATTTGATTATTTTTGCCTAATGCTATATTTTAATATATATATATATATATATGTATACTTTTAATAGTTTATTTATATGTCTATTATTATTATTAGGTGTACATTTCAATCATTTTTATTTGATTACCCCTTTTTTTACTTTGTTTTTATTTCTTTGATGATCATTTTTTTTATTTATTGTATTTATTTATTCATTGGTTGTGTATAGATTATTAATATTTCATTTATTTATTTATTTTACTTTGCTTGTTGACTTCTTTTTTATTTTCTATTTTTATCTTCATTCTTGTTTCCTTTATTTTTATTTTTATTTTTTTCATTTTCGTTCTTTAACGTCTTTATTTTTAAGGGAATTTCAATCAATTAGGGGTAAGTAATTAGGATCGATATTTTACCTTTTAATTTAACTTTCAATTTTCTTAATTAAAGATAACTGGAAATTACACAGTACCGAAAAGTCAGTTCAAGGGTGCTAACCCTTCATTGACTGTAACCGACTCCCGAATCCGACACATCTTTGGTAAGACGCAGATCATGTAAGAAATAAGGTATCCGGTCAACCTATTTTGTTTAAAATAAATTATCGGTGGCGACTCTAATCACATTTTCCTAAGTCGAAGCCCAATTCCCGGCCCAACCGAAAGACGGTTGCGACAATTAGTTAATTGTAATGTTTCATTTTAATGGTCGGTTAATTGTTATAATGTTATCTAAATTTTACAAACTTATTTATGGGTGAATGAGTAAAGATGTATATGTATTATAAGTCTCAAGTTTGACAATCCATTTTTCGAGAAATCTAAGAATTGTATCTTTTGTATTTGACATAATTGCTCGGAAAATTGTCATGAAAATTAATTTCGACCCATAAAAAAACATTCTTTAAGTATAATTATTATAGGTGTTCATGATCAGTTAATTGTTATAATGTTATCTAAATTTTGCAAACTTAACCAAACCGTCAATCGTTATTGACAATTGATTATGTGTCTATTACGATTTTTTTAATGAAAACACGACATGAAAATTTAAAATTTTATAAAATTTATGATGGTTTAAAAATCTTATTTATTTATAGATGTATTTTATTTTTATAAAAAAAAACATATATATATTATAAGGTATATTTGTTTTTTAGTCTAAAATATTACGTGCATATTCATTAATGAACATACTTATAGAACTCTAAACCTAAACACAAATAAATACGAGACCTTCATTCTTGTAATTTCATTGTTATCCATATTTTTAATGAATTGCGTTAATTTTTAGGCATATTCTTTTATGCTCCTCATATTTTGTTTGGATTTTTAAACTTCATAGATCTCATCACTAACATGCCTTGAGTAAATACATATGTATGAGTGTATGTTTTTTGTGCTGGAAAACAAGATCTTTGTTCTAGACAGTACATCGGTGTATCTTTCATGTCTAAGTAGGGAAAAACTACAAAAATTAAAAGAGTTGAAGAAATAAATAAATCAATCACTGAGATCAAGATTAAATTAGACATTTCGCGTTTATCTATATTTTATTTGATGAACTTCAATATAAAATAAATATGATAATTAGAAAATAAAAAGGAACCATTTTAATTTTATTTCTAATTTTTTTTTCTCAAAAAACTATAATTAATTAATTATAATTTATTAACGGTTAATCGATGGTTAACTGTTTATTAAAATTTGAAACCGAAACCTTAAACCGCAGTGACAGATCCACCCTATACTCAAGGTGCGTATATGTCCACCATAAAATCTGAAGATTCTTCGGTTAATTAATGATAAAGTACACAAATGATCCCTAATCTTAACCTTAAAGTCGTAATTCTCAAACTGTTTGTGCCCTCACTTTAAGACTCTCCAAATGCCTAGAAATGAGTAAAATCTCTATGAACCTATATGAGATGTTGTAATCGTCCACAACAGGAAATCAAAAATTAATTATGAAACGCAAATATCCACTTGCATTTAAGCAAGTCCTTGGGGCATCTCAGAAGATCACTTTCTAATCTACATCTTTGGCTAGAAATCACTATGTAAGTAACCTTTCGAATGTACGAGAAACAAAAATATTGAATAGGATCCATAATTGCTCCTTCTACCCTCGGTGGAATTAAACCTGCAAAAATGTGGGTATATCAGAAACTATATAAAATTTATGCTAAAAGATGTAAACTTAAAAAATTATATTAAAATTTAAAGAGTACGAAATTATAATGTGAAATTTACATATAATATAAAGAAAATAAAAAAGGTCCATCCAGGTTGGTGAGTAGCACAAAGAAACAAAATATGCAGAACATATTTATCTCTTCAATTTCAAGTCGCAATTATCCTAAAGAGACAATAGAATCCTTCATTACGCTGAAAATGCCCCCACAGAGAGATCATGGTGAAAGCATCATCCATACCAATTTCAGCGTGCTGCAATCAACCCCAAGCTCGTTTTCATTGCAATGTTACTTCAAATTATCACATACTTGAGAACCACATGTACATCAAAATATTAACACATGTAATGTAATGTAATGTAAACACAGAAATTGAACAATTCATTTAAATCTCATTTTACCAGAACACATCTATAGTTTACATAACTTTGAGTAAAACATCGATGCTGACAATAATAAAGAAACATTTAGATTAAAATTGGGTGGGATGCGCCAGGCCCGAGCTTTAGTGCAACGCGTGGGCTACGCTCGAGATCCCCAATAGCAAGCTACTGTGATGAAATCTCCCCCTCAAAAAAATAAATTTAATATCATGTGAACCAATGGCCCACGTATCAGATATTAAACTGATAAGAACAGATACTACACTTGATCTTAGCCAAAAGGCCGAGAAAGGTATGCCTTCTTCTACCCAATCCGGCTTCTTTTATAAGCTCCGACCTACCTTCGTTGTTTTATATTCAATGGATGTGGGATTGGGAATATATTCAGAAACTCGGGGATGAACACCTTTGATTTTACTGACAATTCGTTGGAGATTAATCTTTCTTCTTGTATTCATAAACTAACACATGACATTCGATATTTGATCTTCAAATCAAACTCATAAGCTTCACTATGATGATTGCAACAATTTGTATAAGCAAATAATGAACTTATCAACTCAACTTCACATAAAATACAGGCTCATTTCATACTAGACTATCAATTTGCAGATAAAACATATGAGAATGTTAAGTCAACCCTAAGTGGATGAAAAGCAAGAGTAGCGACTTTTTCTCAAGGCTCGTCGGTGAAGGCATCCGCGTATGGGTGTGAAATTGCTGATAACAGGAGCTTGGAGCATTTCACTTCAACTAGAGCTGTTACGATCTATGGCCATTAATTGATTTCTCGGACCATACAGAAACCGAAAATCTGAAATTGTTTCTTAATTATTTTATTTGTTAATACATAATGCAGACAATAATCCATCCAAAACAAGATGTTTCAAACTTCTGGAGCAATCATCATACCACTATCTTTCGTTGCCCAACAAATTATCAACATTATAAACAACAACATGCCGTTATAAGTAGAAAAAAATGTTTATTCAAGTACAAGGTGCTAAAATAAACAGGCATCGTAAAACATATGTTCCCTTGTTTAAAACATTGTTCCAATGTTTATTCAATCCATGCAAGCACTGCAAACCGAAACGCACATCTCCATCCATATTTCATAACACATCTACATACATACTGCATAACGAAATAGTCCACATCAAAATTGCAAAAGATGAACGTAAATCTTCATGGTCAGCTACAAGTTGCAAGGGTATTCAGTAGCGGTACTTCGTAGAGTAATCTTTTGGAGCAATCACCAGACCACGACCTTTCCTTGCCCCACGGTATACAGTCTCGATGATGTCTATGAAATCCTTTTTGTCCTTGAGATCCCAGTTGATCTTTGTTAGATATCAAACTCAATTATTGAGTAATAAAAAAGTGGCAAAGATATTTTGAAGATTTGAAAGGTGGCAGCAAACAAAACAATAGTAAATTAAAAATTGAAGACAAACGTGGCAATATGGAAATCACATGAGCATGTCGGCAAAGATTTTTTCTTTAATTGAAATGAAAGTAAATGAAGACAAGCAATATGTTCATCATGTAAGGCGGCAAACAACGGAGAAATTGAGAAGCTTCTAACATTTTCAAAGTCGGTTTATTACATGTATATATATGTGAGCAAAGCAAGCATGTAGATAAGTGAGGAAAAGGGTGAATAACGAGTGAGAGAAAAAAAATAGAGAGAATTGAGAGAAAGCTTAGCAAAGCTATAAGATGTTTGTAAACTAGCCGCAGCTAGTGTCGTAGTATTGTAATATTGAGGTAGTGTCATTTTAACGTATTTTGTTTCGTATCAATAAAAAGTTCGAGTTATAAATTATCGTGAGCCCATCTACGCTTCCAACAAGTGGCCTCAGAGCTTGGTTCGAGTTCAACGTGGTGGAGAAGATGGCCAACATGATTCAACCTCAAATCCCGAGATTGACAAAGACGAATTACGGTAATTGGAGCATTCAAATGAAGGCGTTACTAGGCTCCCAAGGTTGTTGGGATATCATCGAGGATGGTTACACCGAGCCTGAAAATGCAGCAGCACAAGCAGCCCTAGCCAATGAAGAAAAGAAAGTATTGAAAGAATCCCGGAGAAAGGATAAAAGAGCATTGTTCTTTATTTTTCAAGGAGTAGACGAATCTACCTTTGAAAAAATTTCTGATGCAAAGACCGCAAAACAAGCGTGGGAGATTTTGCAAAAATCTCTACAAGGTGCCGAAAAAGCAAAGAAGGTGTTCCGTGGAGAGCTTATGGTGTTGAGAGGAGAAAAGATAGCAGTAAACTTGTACATGCTGAAGGGAGAAACTTTGCTAGAAACAGAAGCCTCTATTGCCTCATGTAGTTCATATTCTGTAATGTTATGGCATCAGAAACTTGGACACATGTCAGAACTAGGAATGAAAGTCCTTGTGGATCAAAAGCTACTTCCAGGCTTAACAAATGTATCACTTACTTTGTGTGAGCATTGCATAACAAGTAAGCAGCACCAGTTGAAATTCAACACATCAAATTCTAGAGGCAAAAGTGTTCTAGAATTGGTTCACTCTGACGTATGGCAAGCACCAGTTACATCCCTAGGCGGAGAATAAGATGTGAATAATGGAACTTGATTCTGAAAATAAGATCAAGTGTTTCAGAACATATAATGGAGGAGAATGCACAAGTGAATAATTTTATGACTTTTGCAAGAAAGAAGGCATCAAAAGATAGTTCACAGTAGCGAACACTCCTCAACAAAATGGAGTGGCAGAGCGGATGAACATAACCTTATTAGAAAGAACAAGATCAATGTTGAGGGATGCATGCCTAGAAAATTTATTCTGGGCAGAAGCAGTCAATGATGCCTGTTATTTGGTGAATCGAGCTCCATCAACTGCAATAGAGCTGAAGACACCAATGGAGATGTGGACTGGTAAACCAGCTGATTATTCAAACCTCCACGTATTTGAAAGTATTGTGTATGTGATGTACAACTCCCAATAAATTTCAAAGCTGGATCCAAAATCTATGAAATACAAATTCTTGGGGTATGTTGATTGTGTAAAGGGGTATCGCTTGTGGGGTCCCACTGCCCGCAAAGTGATCATCAGCAGGGATGTTATCTTTGTAGAAGATAAACTACAAAGAAAAGAAGATGATGATAGTGCTGAAAAGTCAGAGACTACACAAATACATGTGGAAAAGGAGGTTGAACAAGTAGATTCTTCTAAAGCAGAACCAACACATGATGAACAAGAACTATAGAGTTCTGAAGCTCCAACAACTCGTCAATCAGATCGTGTGAGAAGACGTCCCAATTGGCACTCAGATTATGTTATAGAAGAAAATGTTGCATATTGCTTTTTAACAGAGGACGGTGAGCCATCAACATACCAAGAGGCAATAAACAACTCAGATGCTTCACTGTGGATGATGACGATGCAAGAAGAAATTGAAGCCCTTCATAAAAATAATACATGGGACTTTGTGCCACTACCACACGGAAGGAAGCCAATTGGTAACAAATGGGTCTTCAAAATCAAGTGAAATGGTGACGATCAAGTGAAGATGTATCGTGCAAGACTGGTAGTCAAAGGATATGCTCAAAAAGAAGGTATTTATTTCAATGAAATCTTTTCTCCTATGGTTCGACTAATAACAGTTCGTATAGTTTTGTCAATGTGTGCTACATAGAACTTACATCTAGAGCAACTAGATGTTAAAACAGCTTTTCTTCATGGAAATCTTGAAGAAGAGATTTACATGCTCCAGCCTGAAGGTTTTGAAGAAAAAGAAAAGAAGAACTTGGTTTGTAGGTTGAACAAATCTCTGTACGGTCTAAAGCAGGCGTCGAGGTGTTGGTATAAGAGATTTGATTCCTTCATTATGTGCCTTGGATACAACAGACTTAATGCATACCCTTGTGTTTATTTCAAGAGGTCTGGTGATAACGATTTTGTTATATTGTTGTTGTATGTGGATGACATGTTGGTTGTAGGACCCAACAAAGATCATATTGACAAATTGAAGGCACAACTGGCTATGGAATTTGAAATGAATGACTTGGGATCAACAAACAAGATTCTAAGGATGCAAATTCAATGAGACAGACGTAATAGGAAGATTTGGCTTTCACAAAAGAATTACTTGAAGAAGATCTTGTCACGATTCAGCATGCAAGATTGTAAGACAATTTTTACCCCTCTTCCTATTAACTTTAAATTATCCTTTAGTATGAGTCCTAGTAGTGAAGAAGATAGGATGAAGATGTCTCAAGTATCGTATGCATCGGTAGTGGGAAGTTTAATGTTCGCTATGATATACACAATACCAGACATTGCACAAGCAATGGAAGTGGTTAGTCGGTACATGGCGAATCCGGGCAAAGAGCATTGGAATACAGTAAAAAGGATCCTGAGATACATCAAAGGGACCTCAAATGTTGCATTATGTTACGGAGGATCAAACTTACTTATCAATGGGTATGTTGACTCTGATTATGCATGGGATTTGGATAAAAGCAAATCTACTACATGATATGTGTTTAAAGTTGCTAGTGAAGCTGTAAGCTGGGTTTCAAAATTGCAGTCAGTTGTAGCTACATCCACAACAGAGGCAGAATACGTAGCAGCTACACAAGCCAGTAAAGAAGCAATTTAGTTGAAGATGTTATTGGATGATATTGGGCACAATCAAGAGTATGTCTCTCTATTTTGTGACAGTCAAAGCGCCTTGCATTTAGCAAGGAGTCCAACATTTTATTCAAGGAAAAAGCACATACGAGTTCAATACCATTTCATTCGTGAAAAGGTGAAAGAATGAACGGTAGATATGCAAAAGATCCATACCAAAGACAACATAGTAGATTTTATGACGAAGGCGATCAACGTTGATAAATTTACTTGGTGTCGATCCTCTTGTGGCCTGTCAAAGATGTAAGCACCATGAAGGTACAAGGTCAAAAGAATGGTGTGAAGATATGATTGTTCCAATCAAATCTTCAAGTGGGAGATTGATGACTAAGCACCGAAAGGTGCATCAAATTAATGCACCGAAAGCATGAACAAATAAAATATAGTTGGTTTTGTTGAATTTTGTTAAAGGTAAAATTCACAATTTAGTCACTTTACTTTTAGGGTAGTTACAAGATTAGTCCTTAAGCTTCAACTATAAATACCCTAACCCATTTAGCTTCAAAACCATCCCAAAGCATTCTAGCTTTCTTCCAATACTAGAGAATTTAAAGAGTTTCTTGAGAGTCGTTTTCTCCTTTTTATCAAGAGAGAATTATAATTGTTTTCTCCTTGGTAGATCGAG